TCACGCAGAGCTCAAAGGATCAGAGCTAAAGCTCCCCCTAGACAAAACAATAGCAGAAAAGATGGGAAAACAGCTAGATATTAGCAGAGAGGACAGCTGGATATTAGCAGAAACCCTACAGGGGGCAAAGAATCGTATTCAAGGCAAAAAACCCCCAAACAGCCAAGATCCTCTCTCAAAAATCAAGGAGGATCCCCCAAATAAATGACAAGGATTTCGGTGCAAATCTCACAGAACTAGGAGCTGTTCTATAAATATTGTATGATGCTTCCAATAAAAGGGGGAGAAAAAATAAGAACCCTAGGAGGACCAGAGGTCGATTGTAAACTGCATCCTCCATTACTACAACGAAAGAAATAAGAATCACCATTGAAGAGTGGACTAGTTGAGCTCTCCGAGCCGGTAAACCACTATAATTTTACTGTGCAAATCTCTCCCAATTCCCCAGCAATTTTCACTCGATTCTCACGAGCCTTGTAGCTCAGTTCTAGGTCACCAAGTACTATTCATTCCCTATGCTCATCCACGAGAATTCACGCCATCAAGAACTATGTTGTATCTCCATTATCATTCAATGCCGTTTTGAACATGGTGGCCGTGGGATCAACCGGAGCTACGTTGAAGCAGATGCTTAGGCTTCTTGAATTCGAAAACATCGATGATGTCAATTCGAAGTTTTTAGGTATGATGGCGATTGCATCGACTGGTTTATCATCTCAGAAGAGCAATTGTACTGGTCCGGCTCTGTCATTCATTAATGGAGTCTGGATAGATAAGCATTTTTGCTCTCCCTTGTTTCACATCATACATCTATCTATGCCATGCTAGGAAACTTATGCATGCTCAGTTTTTTTTTTTTTTTTTCTATGCATGCTATGAATTAACGTTGGCTGGCTTCCTCAGTTACTAAGGTTTGGGGAATTGGTTGCTTTTAAACACCAAATCTTTTGGGGCTTAATTCCTTTTCTTTTTTTTAATTAAACCTTGACAGTGTGAGGAGCATATTATTAATTCCAATAAAGCATTACATCTAGCAAGACAGGACGTAATGAGCTTTACCCCTCAAATGCCTTTGAAGCTATAGCATTTAAAAATTTAAAGTAAAAGAAATTGAAAAAATGCATGCAGCTTACAAAATATAGGCCAAAAATAATCCTATACTATGCAATAGCCGTTAAAATCTGCATTCCTTCATTGTGTCATTGGAGAAATAATCTTGTAGAATAAGAGTCCTTCCTTGAAAAGAAATCTCATTTAAATTGAAAGTCTTTCTAGGGCACCCATCCCTTATCCCCTTATTAGCCAAGAAATTTGCCATCATATTCCCTTCCCGATAAACATGACTAACCACAATATTATCTCGTTGGAGAAAATCTCTAATATTCGGCCACTTATACCATAATTTCCAATTAGGAACTATGTCTTGATTTAACAGCATTCGGCTTCCAAATTTGTACAAACTCCAAAGCTATTGGATGCTACCATTAAGACTTGACCATTTTGATTTTGAATTATAACACCTCCTTCCGAACTCCTGGGTTCCCCTTGCATGCCCCATCAATATTAACTTTTAGCCAATCACATGGAGGAAGACACCATCTTACCCATTTGTCACCAGTAAACTTTTGAGTCATCTCTTGAATGTTCAGATTTAGCAAGAGCAATTGATCCTGAATATCACCCGTAATCACTAACTAGATATGATATGTAGTTGTATTTAGAGGTCGGCCGTAGCGCAACGAGTGGGGAAATAACTTTTTTTTCTTGTAAGGGTAAGGCTATATACATCTAATCCTCTCTAGATCCCATAATGGCGGGAACCTCGTGCACTGCATACTCGCCTAGTTATATTGAAGGTTTGATTGTAGCCCAAAATGCATTAACGGAAATTGTTTTTGCTCTCATACTTGTTATGCATAACTGGAACTTTAATATTTTAGACCCTTAGACTGCCATTGATCTGATAACAAAGTGCCTTCAACTTAAGTGACACTGCAAGGAAGCCATGATATATGTATTTGGATCTCCTTCTTGATTTTACGCACTTGATCCATTGGTGAAATACAAGGTTGCTCGGCGGACCACAGGTCTTAATCGGGCCAATCCACTGAGCCTAAAGGCAGCCTAGTGCACAATACTCCAAATGTTGTGGGTTATAAGGAGGATCAATTCAAAATTGTAGGTGTTACCCCCTCATGAGCCCTTGGACCATGGGGCCAAAGGTTTTTTGTGGATGCGTCCTACATACACATATAATGATCGAGCTCTATGCCTTTTTCACAGGAGTTGTGTTCAACCCCTAATTAAAATGATCAACCTGTTAATTCCTTTAGAGAGATAAACAAATTTCGATGGAATTTGATTTTATTTGGAATAAACTTGAAGATTAATTAGTAAGGTTGTGTATGATATTTTGTTTTTTTTTTCTTTGCGTTAATGCGATTAACTCCAAGTAGGGGTGCTAATGGAGCCGAACTTTGCGAGCCGAGCTTGAGACTATTGAGATCGTTTTTCTAAGTGAGTCAAAAAAATATTCAAGTTCGGCTTGTTAAGAACTTGAGCCTGAACCGAGCCCGAATAATTCGACTTTTTTACATATAAACGAGATGAACTTTGCAAGCTTGAACCGAGCCTTTTAAGCTAGTTTTTCTAAACGAGTATAAAAAATTATTCAAACTCAGCTCGTTTAGAACACGAATCAAATTTGAACTCGAGCCAAATCCGAGTAGCTTGGAAAAAAAAGATTGACATTGGATCAATTCAAAAAAAAGTTCTAAAATAATCCGAAGCATTGACTTAATTTACTTATCTAATTACTGATAATCATTGGATTGACAATGAATCTCAGTATTTGTAGGGATCCTCATCATAATAGATTATAACCATTGAATTGATAGTGATAGTGGATCTCAACTAACAGTAAGATCTACTGTTAATCCAATTACAAATTTCATGTTGCATTGTTCTGTATTAAAGCATAACTTTATATTAAAGTGAAGAAGCAAGATTGAATTCCAATCCATACGGCCCAAGGCCTACAAAATAATATGGGTTTGCTTTTCACTTGAGGGACTTTCCTAGCGTGGTGGGCCAAGAACTTTTGCGGTCTAGCACGTTTAAAATATGAACCACACCGGGCTCTACTCAAGTTAAGAACTGACCAAGTGCTGCCGACTTAAAAGTGGGGTCCAAGACTTTTAGTTTCTGACCCGACAAAGAGAACACGTCACGTAATGGAGGCATGCATAAAGGCAGTGAAGGAAAAAAAAAAATCCTCTTATAGTAGAAGCTTTAGCAATTAAAGAAACAGCTATGTGGGTACACAGGAAAGAATGAAATTATGCAGTGATGGAAAGTGATTCTCAAGTAACAGTGTTTGCTGCCACAAATCCCTGCTTCAAAATCCCTTGACCCATTTGGGACAGTCACAAAGGATACGAAGCATCTGCTTGATCAACACTTTGATTGGAGCTTGATTCATGTGTTTATAGAAGTTAATGAAGTTGCTCACGCCTTTGCAAAATTGGGATTTTCTACAAAGAGGGAAGGAATTATACTTGCAAATCATCTTCCCCAAGCAGTAAAAAAGATTGTGCTCCAAGAGAATGATGTCTCTCTTTAGATAAACATCAAGTTTCAATGTTTGATGGAGCTCATAACTAATCTAAAGATTATAGTGAATTAAGTCAACAAATTAAGTTCTAATAATATAGCTCTATTTTTTTTTCAGTAATTATGAGGAATTTTTAATCCAGTTGTTTTACACCGACGTTCCACCAAACAATTGAGTACACTTGAGGAAAGAAAAATCTACTCTTTTTTTTATATAATTTTGAGAATAATACTTGACGATCCCAGAATTAGATAAGTCTTAAGTTTAATTCATAGGTTAAATTTAAATCATTAAACGATAGACTAAATTTAACTCATGGACTCAATTATCCTCTTGCCTGGGTTTGTAACCCGTGGGGGGCTTGGTTAAGTGTAGCCGGTATAGGAGAGTTAAATGTCACTGTAGCAATCGGGTCAAGGCTTAACCCAGGATTAGTATCCTATCTCAAAAATAACTTCTCAAACAAAGATTTTGTGTGATTCATTATCTTATTAATCTATACATATGGATGTTAACCCACTTTAATCTCCTACCCCAAACACACCCTAAAAGTTCAAGAAAAGTCAATGTATCTAAGAGAGCAATAATTGAGATAGTCATTACTCTAAAATAATGTTTATCCTCAGTTGTAACTATCTTTTATAACATACTAGTACTTTGATCCTCATACCACTGCCTCAACTAAGACTCTCTGCCTATAAATTGTAAGTCTCCATACACATGGGACAGATCTCATACACTTTACTTTGAATTTACTATTGTTCTTTGTCTCCCTCCCTATTACTTTGTATTCTTATTAATAGAGTTTTTTGACCACATTTGACACCTTTAGTTGGTTAGATCATCGAGACTCAATCACTCAATATTTGTTTTTTATTATTAATTATTTCATTAATTAATTTATATCATATTCGACTAATTTGATTGTACATTAACCTACTTTTGTACATCATCAATAATACTAAATTAAGTTCAGTGTCAATCCAAGAAAAATGAGTAAATTCATTAATCTATCTTTGCGTAGATAATTTATTTTTGACTAGATCAATTTTGGCGTAGGTAATTTATTTTTGACTAGATCAGGAAGTAATGGATTAGCCGAAATACCATAAATTGAGTTGAATAATCGTGACCAAATTATTAAAAAAATAAAAAATAAAAAATAAGTTATATCCGAATAATATTGTTATTTTGAGAAATTTGTATATAAGTGATTTCCCAAAAAGTTATACAAGAGTTTAAAGGCCTCAATCTCAGGCCATCTCAAAATTTATTCTTTAGAATATAAAAAAGAAATATTAACAAGAGATTAATCAAAACCAGAATAGATTAATTAATCCCACATGAGAGAGAGAGAGAGATTTAATTAACACGCAACATTATAATGCTAATGAAACCCTGAGGAAGCCTCCGAAAACGACGATGTCACATACTCTCTCACTTCCCTCGCAATCACATCCCTCATCACATCCCAAAAACCCACCGGCACACTCTCTACCTTCCTCTCCGGCAACTCATAACCAACCATTCCCGGCGGCGCCAACGACAACGTCGTCATTGGGTCACAGTCATTCATCTCAGAATTCAAATCAAACCCAGATCCTGATGCCCCATTCAAATCAATGCCGTCCATTCTTCCTCCCTGTTGATCTTGCATTTGATTATATCTTCTCTTCAACGTCGAGTTCCAATGGTTCTTCACCGCATTATCGGTCCGACCCGGGAGCAACCGGGCGATCGTGGCCCACCTATTGCCATACTTAGCATGAGCAGCCAAGATGACATCGTCCTCCGCCGACGAGAATGGCCGGTGCTCCACACTTGGGCTCAGCTGGTTGCACCACCGTAGCCGGCAAGACTTGCCGGACCGGCCTTTTATGTACTTGCTTATCAGGGACCAGTTTCTCGGCCCATATCGCTCCACAAACCGGGTCAGAATCTTGTCCTCNAAATTATGCAGTGATGGAAAGTGATTCTCAAGTAACAGTGTTTGCTGCCACAAATCCCTGCTTCAAAATCCCTTGACCCATTTGGGACAGTCACAAAGGATACGAAGCATCTGCTTGATCAACACTTTGATTGGAGCTTGATTCATGTGTTTATAGAAGTTAATGAAGTTGCTCACGCCTNCAATTATGCAGTGATGGAAATTGATTCTCAAGTAACAGTGTTTGCTGCCATAAATCCCTGCTTCAAAATCCCTTGACCCATTTGGGACAGTCACAAAGGATACGAAGCATCTGCTTGATCAACACTTTGATTGGAGCTTGATTCATGTGTTTATAGAAGTTAATGAAGTTGCTCACGCCTTTGCAAAATTGGGATTTTCTACAAAGAGGGAAGGAATTATACTTGCAAATCATCTTCCCCAAGCAGTAAAAAAGATTGTGCTCCAAGAGAATGATGTCTCTCTTTAGATAAACATCAAGTTTCAATGTTTGATGGAGCTCATAACTAATCCAAAGATTATAGTGAATTAAGTCAACAAATTAAGTTCTAATAATATAGCTCTATTTTTTTTTCAGTAATTATGAGGAATTTTTAATCCAGTTGTTTTACACCGACGTTCCACCAAACAATTGAGTACACTTGAGGAAAGAAAAATCTACTCTTTTTTTTATATAATTTTGAGAATAATACTTGATGATCCCAGATTTAGATAAGTCTTAAGTTTAATTCATAGGTTAAATTTAAATCATTAAACGATAGACTAAATTTAACTCATGGACTCAATTATCCTCTTGCCTGGGTTTGTAACCCGTGGGGGGCTTGGTTAAGTGTANCGATCCCAGAATTAGATAAGTCTTAAGTTTAATTCATAGGTTAAATTTAAATCATTAAACGGTATACTAAATTTAACTCATGGACTCAATTATCCTCTTGCCTGGGTTTGTAACCCGTGGGGGGCTTGGTTAAGTGTAGCCGGTATAGGAGAGTTAAATGTCACTGTAGCAATCGGGTCAAGGCTTAACCCAGGATTAGTATCCTATCTCAAAAATAACTTCTCAAACAAAGATTTTGTGTGATTCATTATCTTATTAATCTATACATATGGATGTTAACCCACTTTAATCTCCTACCCCAAACACACCCTAAAAGTTCAAGAAAAGTCAATGTATCTAAGAGAGCAATAATTGAGATAGTCATTACTCTAAAATAATGTTTATCCTCAGTTGTAACTATCTTTTATAACATACTAGTACTTTGATCCTCATACCACTGCCTCAACTAAGACTCTCTGCCTATAAATTGTAAGTCTCCATACACATGGGACAGATCTCATACACTTTACTTTGAATTTACTATTGTTCTTTGTCTCCCTCCCTATTACTTTGTATTCTTATTAATAGAGTTTTTTGACCACATTTGACACCTTTAGTTGGTTAGATCATCGAGACTCAATCACTCAATATTTGTTTTTTATTACTAATTATTTCATTAATTGATTTATATCATATTCGACTAATTTGATTGTATATTAACCTACTTTTGTACATCATCAATAATACTAAATTAAGTTCAGTGTCAATCCAAGAAAAATGAGTAAATTCATTAATCTATCTTTGCGTAGATAATTTATTTTTGACTAGATCAATTTTGGCGTAGGTAATTTATTTTTGACTAGATCAGGAAGTAATGGATTAGCCGAAATACCATAAATTGAGTTGAATAATCGTGACCAAATTATTAAAAAAATAAAAAATAAAAAATAAGTTATATCCGAATAATATTGTTATTTTGAGAAATTTGTATATAAGTGATTTCCCAAAAAGTTATACAAGAGTTTAAAGGCCTCAATCTCAGGCCATCTCAAAATTTATTCTTTAGGATATAAAAAAGAAATATTAACAAGAGATTAATCAAAACCAGAATAGATTAATTAATCCCACATGAGAGAGAGAGATTTAATTAACACGCAACATTATAATGCTAATGAAACCCTNGATATAAAAAAGAAATATTAACAAGAGATTAATCAAAACCAGAATAGATTAATTAATCCCACATGAGAGAGAGAGATTTAATTAACACGCAACATTATAATGCTAATGAAACCCTGAGGAAGCCTCCGAAAACGACGACGTCACATACTCTCTCACTTCCCTCGCAATCACATCCCTCATCACATCCCAAAAACCCACCGGCACATTCTCTACCTTCCTCTCCGGCAACTCATAACCAACCATTCCCGGCGGCGCCAACGACAACGTCGTCATTGGGTCACAGTTATTCATCTCAGAATTCAAATNTCTCTACCTTCCTCTCCGGCAACTCATAACCAACCATTCCCGGCGGCGCCAACGACAACGTCGTCATTGGGTCACAGTTATTCATCTCAGAATTCAAATCAAACCCAGATCCTGATGCCCCATTCAAATCAATGCCGTCCATTCTTCCTCCCTGTTGATCTTGCATTTGATTATATCTTCTCTTCAACGTCGAGTTCCAATGGTTCTTCACCGCATTATCGGTCCGACCCGGGAGCAACCGGGCGATCGTGGCCCACCTATTGCCATACTTAGCATGAGCAGCCAAGATGACATCGTCCTCCGCCGACGAGAATGGCCGGTGCTCCACACTTGGGCTCAGCTGGTTGCACCACCGTAGCCGGCAAGACTTGCCGGACCGGCCTTTTATGTACTTGCTTATCAGGGACCAGTTTCTCGGCCCATATCGCTCCACAAACCGGGTCAGAATCTTGTCCTCCTCAGCACTCCATGGACCTCTGATTCTCTCTAGTTTGTCTCCATCTCTTCGTGCCTTACCGGACGGCGAAGAGTCTGAGTAAGATGAATCAGATGATGAAGAAGTAACTGATGAGCACCTGTTGAATTCTTCCATTTTAGAGAGAGACAGACAGACTTTNGCGAAGAGTCTGAGTAAGATGAATCAGATGATGAAGAAGTAACTGATGAGCACCTGTTGAATTCTTCCATTTTAGAGAGAGACAGACAGACTTTTGGGTAAATGGTAGATTGAGTAAAGCTCAGAGCTTCTGGGTCTGCTTATATAGAGAGAGAAATTGTGTTTGCTCACGGAGACTAAAGAGACNTTTGGGTAAATGGTAGATTGAGTAAAGCTCAGAGCTTCTGGGTCTGCTTATATAGAAAGAGAAATTGTGTTTGCTTACGGAGACTAAAGAGACAGACAGAGAATTATGGGGGTGCATGAACTTCGGCGCAGTGCCTTTTTTGGGCTGTGGAGTGAAGATGGTTCTTGGAAGCTGCCTTGTGTAAAGTGGGTAGGTGTTCTAACAAGAACAGGTGCGCATCTGCGCACCCCGTTTTATTTACTTGTATATTTGGGAAGATTTTGTTGTGGGTTCTGTTTTGTCGTTAGTGATGTGAAATGACGGTTTTGGGTAAGTGTGACATTTGAGAAATTTCAGTGCTAATAAGGGAGTTAATTACGTCAAAAGAGTATTCTACCGTACCAAGAAAAAAAAACTCAGAACCATAACGTCATTATTAATTTTGTTCTTTTTTTTTATAATTTTTATAAATTATTTATATTTTTTTTAATAATTTTTTATCGATCTCAAGTTGCTATAAAAATAATATTTTTTTTCAAAAAATTAATAAATCAAATTTTAAAAATAACCCAAAAATTATATATATATATATATATATATATATATATATATATATATATANTATAATTCAATGGTATATTATATACGGTCTTAAACTATAATCTCATCATTTCCCTAGTTTGTTTGTCACAAACATTATTTGTGTAATACCTACTTAAAAAAGTNTTATATTCATTCTACTATAATTCAATGGTATATTATATACGGTCTTAAACTATAATCTCATCATTTCCCTAGTTTGTTTGTCACAAACATTATTTGTGTAATACCTACTTAAAAAAGTCAAAAATTATAACTATTCAATGTAAAAAGACAATTGTAACCTTATAAAAAATCAAAAATTACAACTGACTTTTATATGGGGCATTGTACATGAGGACATTTAGATTTTTTTACTCTATTATACCTCCATAAAAGTTATACCAAAAATATTATACTACCGAATAGATGATATTATTTAACACCGTATATAAGACATAAAAATTATTGTTCACACCAGATCACTGCTATAACCCAAAAATTAATACCAAATAAAATATATCAAATAAATAAAATATAAGATAAACCCCAGATATTATTTTCTTTATACCACCCTTTAACCACACGGCCCAAAAGGTTTTTTGTTGGATAGTGTAGTGTGAAGTAAAGTCCGGAAGGATTTTGGTACGCATTCATTGAATCTGGTGATATGAAACAGATTTTGAGTTGGATGTAATTAATGATTTGTCTTGTTGTCTACATTCAGACATGAATCACAGTTTGTCGGATAATGTACATTGTCCGTACGATAAAAATGTCGATAAAGGGGATGAGATAACATTCCACAGAATAGGAGATCTAATCTGGCATACAATCCTTGTGGTCTAGTTTTTGGTTCTGTAGTGAAATTTTTTTATTTAATACCAGATTTAGTTGTTCGCATATGGTTTTAATTTAAATTTGAACAAAATTTATTACAAATTCTATTCATAATTCACTGCAAAAATTTGTGTTTTAATTAAAAAAAACTCATCCAAAAAAGATATCATTTTTGGTCCGTGAATAATTATAAATTTATCTATTTTACGCATTTTCTTTAGTACTAGTGCCTGACTACGGAATTAGTACAAGCAAAGATCAACTATAAATTTTAAGGAATAGTTCAAGTGATAACAGATATAAGATGTAAACTCAAACGTCTTGAATTCGAATTTTAACAATTTTTTAAGACCAGATCATAAAAAATTTAACTCTCATTAATACTCTAGTCTCAGTATAAATGTCATATCTTCAACTTGATCAAAAAGAAGATAATCGAAGTGCGTGTAAGTTGACCTAAATATCTCTGATCGTTAAATCGAAAAAAAAAAATTCAACTAAATAGATTTAAATATTCAACAAATAGAAAGTTTTAATGAACTCTTAATTAATTTATCATATTATTAAATTGGCTTGGCTTATGGTTACACATAAATGGATTGAATATCGAGTTTTATATGAACAAATAAAATTGAATTATGTCAAATTCATTTCATCGAAAGAAAACCTATCCATTAGGGCTAAAACTCCATATTTGATCACTAGGGAAGCCATTTATGTTCTATTTGGTATGATGAAAAAATAAAAAAATGAAAAGATGAAAAGTTATAAGGGTAAAAAGGTAGAGGATTAAATAAAATATCATATGTTTGGTAAGGAATAAAATTAAGAACAATAGAAAAGTAGATGGATTAATTTTTCCTTCAACTCACCAAAATCAATCCCTCCAAAATCGGAAGGAAAGTGAATGAAAAGTTAATTATTTATGTTAAGATATATCTTATTTGTTTATATATCTTTTAATATAAACATATATTATGTATATATTAATTTCATATAAAAATACAATGATAAAATATGTATATATATATATATATATATATATATATTTTAAAAAAATAAAAATAAATTTAAAAATAAAAAATTTAAATTAAATTAAATACCTTCTTCATCTTAATTAGGGGTAAAAATTTTCGACTCAACATGATGACACGATTCGAATTCGACACGAATTTTATAACACAAACTTGATTATAACTCGACACGAACTTGAAAATGACCTAACAAGTGAACAAAAAATATAAAAAGCTCGTAATTTTATAATTCAACACGAATCTGACATGATATAACTCAATTGTCACTCATACTCTCAGCGAACACAAAAAAAAAATTAAAAATTAATCATTTTTATTTTCCATCAATCCAACCAAATACAAATGAAGAAAAGTGTAGCATTCCTACTTTCCATTCTTGAAGGATATAAAATATATTTATCATACTTTTCATAATTCTTATTTTTTATTCTTCGTATCAAACGGAACATTGAACTCTAAATTAATTTATTATATTATTAAATTGGTTTGGCTTATGGTTACATATAAATGGATTGAATATCGAGTTTTATATGAACAAATAAGATTGAAATATGTCAAATTCATTTCATAGAAAGAAAACCTATCCATTGGGGCCTAAAACTCCATTTTTGTTCACTAGGGAAGCCACTTAGGGAGTGGGGTCGTAGTTCTAAAAATTGTATTGTAACCCTTGTTGTCTTTAACTTAGTTCATCGAGCAATTGGCCAAAGAGATCCTATCGGATGGCCTTCAAACCCACTACATGCATATGGGCTAGACGACATTGTGCATTTCGGGTCAATTTATAGTACAGTCGAGTTAGTTATCCAATCACCAAAGGTACTTTCCAAACACGGGTAAAATGGGCACGGCATTTTTATGGGCTTCCGGGTAAAATTTTACTAGTGTATCCCTTTTGATCCCCAAAAAACATGGTAATGACACGATACTATTTAACATTTGACAACAATAAAAACATGAACAAAAGTAACCATGGGACAAAGGATCAAACCTTCTGGTACAAAGTTGTTAGTTAGCGTTTAAAACATGACAGAGCTGTTTATCACATTATTCAGAACATAAATGGACTGCAAATAATTTTAAAATCTCAAGTGGGGTCCATCTCTTTTTGACTACTTTATGGACCTACCGCTGTAAGCCCAAATCTAGAGCTTGATCAAGTTAATCAACGGCTCTAATCAAACAGGATCAAAGGAAATCCCTATAAAATAAACAGTTGGATAGATGACTTCAACTACTTCTACGTAGGTAGGACCCAATTACAGCCTGGACGAATCTCACGTGATACGAGATTGAATCGCTTTTGACTTATGTGAGCGCTACGTGGTCCTAGTCGCTGTTGAGCGGCGTGAATTCCAACCGAACGCCCTATTTATGGAACATAAATTCTTAAGAATTATATTTAAACTCTATAAAATTTGTCATTTAATTACTTAAATTTTTTAATATTTAAAATATTATACACAAATCACTATAACATTTAAACTATTACCGTCAATGTCTATTAGCATATTCGTTATTAAATTACACTCAAACCCCTTGAAATTTATAAATATATAATATTTAGACCCTCAAGTTTAAAATATTATACTTAAATCAAAAATATCCCAATTAATGATAGAATATTAAATATTTTAAATTTTACAAGTAAAATTCATGTTTTATTATTAAAAATTATAATTAGTATATAATTATACTATTTATTAAAATAAAATTAAAAAAATCAAACAATGGGTCAAATTATAATAGACATAACATCTTATAACTTTAATTTGAGTAATTTGGTAGTTTAATTTGATCTTTTAAATTGTCAAATTAAATTCTAATATATAGTATAATCATATACTACTTAAAAGTTTTTTTTTAAAAAAATAGATTTTTATTTTTAATTTTATTTCAATAAATGTCATAATAGAATATAAATTTTTATTGTAAAATTTAAAATATTTAATATTATATATTTGATTAGAGTATTTTTAGTATAAGTATAACATTTTAAAATGAAGAGGTCTAACTATTATACGTTTACAAATTTCAAGGAGTCTAGATGTAATTTATTAACAGACAGTGACATTAAGGGGTTTAAGTGTTACTCGATTATAAATCTTAGGGAGTATGTGTATAATATTTTAAATGTAAAATGGTATGAGTGATTAAATAAAAAATTTTAAAAAATTTGAGTGTAATTCTCTCGATACTTAAATTGCATTTTCTTTTTTACATATTAATTCAATATAAGTACAACCCAAGTCAAATTAGTGGCTTAAAAGAGATTAATTCCGTATAGGAAATCACAAATGACAAGATTCATTTATATCCATAATAAATGAGTTGAATTGTTATGCAACCCAAATAAC